ATATATATATATATATATATATATATATATATTGTTAATAACATTGTATATATTTGTAACATTGTAATATATATATATATAAATATTGAAAAATATAAAATATAAATTCTTTTGTTATATGTTTTAAATTAATAATGATATTTTTTAAATATCAAAAATGTCTTATTAATATCTCACAAATGTCCTGTTTATGAAAAAATAAAACGTAAATAAAATATCTTAAAAAAAATCTTTATAAGAAGCAAGCAAATGTGTTCTTTAACATGTTTTAAATGCATAATATATTTTTTTTATCATCTTTATCTTTATTATACATCTTTAAAATTTTAACAAATGCAATAAAAAGAATATATTAAATTATAAGGAAAAATAGCAATTTTAAAATACAATATGTATTTTAATAAATTAATAATAAATAATGAGTTCCTAATATATTTTTTTAATATATCATATTTATTCTACATTTACATATATTCTTAAAAAATTAAAATTAAAAATAATAAGAACATATTTCAAAATTCATTTAAATAAATTTTTTAAATATAATATTAAAATAAATTATATTAATAGATATATAATAATATTAAAATTTAATATAAATAATAACTTTATTTGTGAAAAATAAAAATATTTATAATATCGTATTTTATTAATTTTTTTATTAATTTATTTATTTACTTTTTTATTATTTAAATGTTATACATTTTATTATGCAATATAATATTTAAAAATAAAATACAGATGAGATTGAATGATATTAAATAAAAAAAAATAGTATTCTATAATTTAATATAACTTGTGTTTTTATTTTTGAAATGTATTTATAATGTATTTTTCAATTTTTATATTATAACATGTATGTATACATATATATAAATATCATAAACATTGCTATTTTACTTAATTAAATTATTGAGAAATTGATCCAAGCGGAGGATCTTGCCATTTAAATTCCTCTTGATAAGTGACGTAAATGACCCAATAACAAACGTTGAGTAATCCAAAAGAAGCAGGAAATACTATTCGTGCAACTTTATCGATGTAAGATACACTGTTTATGTGTCTTGCAATTTTTTCCCCACGCTTCCTACAGTTTCCAGCTGCTTCTCTTTGTCTGCGCTTCCTACAGTTAGTATCAATTATATTTATAATTTAAATGAAATAATCAATATTGAAGATATATAAATAAAAAAATGTATTATAAAAGATATATCAGAATAAATAAGTGATAAATATATAATTATTTTTATTCTTATACTTATTTTGCTTTTTATTTCAGTTCTGTTTTAATTTTATTTCAATTTTCATTATATTAGATATTTATTTTACTTAATATGTATTACTTAATATTATATATTTTATTTTATATATAATAAAATAATAAATAAATAAGTTAATTATCTTATTATATTAAAGAAACTTAAAATATAAATATAATATTTAAAACATAATAAAAATATGTTACAATAATACTATTCGATAAATTAATGTATTTGTAAATTTTTATATTTTATATATAATTATATATGCATATTTTTTTTAAATAAATTTTTATAAACCAAAATTTAATAATATATAGAATAAAATTCCTAATTATGGCAATATTAAAAAGAATTCTAAACTAATTCGTTATAAGGAAATTAGTAAAAAGATTTTTTTTAAAATTACAAAAATATAATGAAATACATACAAAATAATGTATATATTTCGTTACATTTCTTATAAAATAATCTTTTTCAAGTTATAAATTATTTTTTTTCAAATAAATAATATTAATTTATCAAAAAAATAAAATATTAATACTAAATATTTAAAATACTAACGATATATATTATAATGTAAAAATATTATGATAAAATATAAATTAATGTAGATGTATGATGAAATATAAATACATAATAAAAATGTAGATATTTCGCAAATAGTGGACTGATTATTTTGATTTACATCAACATAATTAATAATATTTGTAGCGAAAAATATTTAAATAAAAATTGATTAATTTTAAAAAAATATATTTTTATACTATTTAAAATTTTTTATAAAAAGCATTAAATTGCATTAATCAAAAAATATATTTCATTTAAAAAAATGAATTTGATTTTTTTTTTCATATATTCTTTATTTATCCGCAAAAATCTACGCAAAAAATCTACACAATTATTAAAATATGCATTTAATTTTTTTGATTACATTTACAGATAATATTATAGATATAAAGTAATACAATATCATATAAAATAATTCACATCATATTTTTTAATTCGCCTATTTCAATATTGTGTTAATTCTAAATTAAAAATTAAAAAAAGTCTTATAACACACTTTAATTCTATATTACACAAAGATATAAAAATAAAATTTATTATGAATTTTTTTAATAGAATTAATTAAATTAGAAATAAATATATCTTTACAATTTATATGCTCATCATTATACATTAAAATAATATATTATCAGATAATTTAAAATAAAGGTCAGATTTTTTTTTTAATATTTTATAATTTTAAAAATATTTTAATTTAAAATTTTGTTTGATAAATATATATATATATATTTATGAATATAATTTCGTTATTATTTTAAGATTAGAAATTTTTTACCTAAATGATTCATCACCAGCAAGGCAATAAAGAAATTGTCGCCATTTCGGTATCCACACTTCTGTTTGTGTTTGTCTTTCCATTGTTGATGGTTTGGATGCAACAGATACAGTCATCGATCCTCTTTCGTAAGAAACGGATTCCTAAGTGAGAAATTACTTGAAAACATTCAATTATAATTATATAATTATATAATTATATAAATTTTAATGAATATATATATATATATATATATATATAT